AAAAAATCTTTTTTTTTTTTTTGGCAATAATAACAATCAAGATTCTTTATTTACCCGTAAATTGGTACAGCTGAATTTATAGCATCGTTTATAGACAAGCGGATTGATTTGATCCAAAAAACGATAAACAAATAATGAACAAAAATTAAATTAACTGATGTTATTAAAGAAAATAACGAGCCTGACTCCGAACTCGGTCTTTCCAAGAATAGAGTGAAAGCCCTGATAAAGCGATGAAAAAAGCAATTAGATTGAACGTAAAATAGTAAAGTACTGGTTTGTGTGCAAAATGTTTCATCCCCTATAATGGATGTTAATCCTCCTATTTATAGTTCTATTGAGGGAGACAAGATCCGCAAATCAAATTCTTCTTGAATGAGAATAAAGCGCTATTGATGGGTGCATAACGAACGGCTTTGAATGCAAATATTCTCTTTAATGACTGCTCATTAAATTTTATCCAATGTCAAATCTTTGAACCTTTATTATCGGCTATGCTTCCTTTAGGATACATCCTGCACCAATTACATACTTTGCACCCGATACCAGTTATCTTTTGTCTTATTTTTTTCCTATCTTCAGTTCCACGTGTCACCTTACTATTTGACCACGTGTTATCAACCAATTATACCTCATACAGATAGTCCTCCTACTTTCCGGTGACATAATTTAGTATAATCGTTAGGTAAATAAGAATTCTTTTTTGGCGGAAAGTTCCTGAACGGTCATAACTATGATTTTTGACGTCTATAACTTCTCTGTTGCTCATCATTTTTACTTCTTAACTTTCACTACTTTTATAAATCTTTCTCCTTTCTCAACATTTGCGTAGAACCTTTTTACAAAATTCAACTTTCTCAGCAAGAACTTCTTCATTAACCTTTTACCATCATGTCTTCTTACACTGCTATCTTCGAAAGTTCTAGTCTTCTCTCCGTTGGAGGCCCCAAGAAAAACAAGAACAAAGAGGTTGACGTTGAGTTTGATCCTCTAACTGTTAACACCATCATACCACTTCATCTCAACACCGCATCCGATCTCCAAGAACAAACCGTCTCTGCAAATTCGCAAAGTAGCAGGTTTTGGCCAGTTCGCAGGTACCCCTCCTCCATTCGACCCTCTAGTATCCCCACTGTGAAGGAGGATCGCAAATGCTCCAATGTCGAAATCCTCACCCCATATGGGGGTAGAACGAGTTACCTACTCCAGAGAGGGGTTTATATATGTCTATACATACCCATTTGCTTTGGGTACCTTTGCCTTGGGGTCGAGTGAAGGACTTGTCACGATCCAAAATCCCTCCTTAGGAATCGTGATGGCACCTAGTGTAAGACTAGATAAGCTTAACACTTACTGAATTAATAACATGTTTTAACCAATCATCTATTAAACAAGAAACGGAAATTTTTATACAAATCCAATAATTCAAAGTAAATATACAACATCCCAACACCGGTAGTACAAGTCATAAGCCTTTCTAAGATTAACTAAGAATATCAAATACATCACTATTTGGAATAGAAGTAAACAATAACTAAATAAAACTTCAGGTGACTTCGAGGCCTGCGAAGACAATGGCAAGTATACCTTTAAGTCTCCGTCGTAACTCGAAATCAGCTAACTAATGACCAACGCGCTCTGAAGTACCTAGATCTGCACAAAAATGTGCAGCAAGCATAGCATGGGTACATCACAGCAGTAACCAATAAGTATCAAGACTAAACTCGGTGGAGTAGTGACGAGAAACAGTCAAGAAACCTACTAGACATAATAACATGTACAAGTATGAATATAAAACTAACAGGGAACAACATTAGTATAAAGCTAAACATGGTAAGAATAACAATACGATAGGTCATCACAAATCATCCCAACATAACCCCCTTGTCTCGCTACATGCGTAATAATAAAGTAAATGCCCTCGTTGTCTCGCCTCATGCGCATAATAATTATCCGACCTTGTCTCGCCATATGCGCAAATCCAACATATATAGCCCGCCTTGTCATGCCACATATGCAAATATCAACAATAATAATAGCACGGACAATTCGCGTGCAAACACCTCGACAATTCTCTCAACAACACCACATGTGCCAAAACATAACAACATAAAATGATAATGCGCACCACATGTCCCCATATACCATAATGTTTCTATAACAATATTTTCAATACCACAACCACACAGTTCACGGCTCAACAACATCGAGTACAACAAAAACAACAATAACACGAGGGTACGACAAGTAAATCAATACAGGAATCACAACAATACAATGAAACGGAAGAATAAGCTAAACATTGAAAAACATAACAAGTAATAATGGCTTCAAGTAAGAGTAGTTCGACAATAGGAGAGATAACATGTAACATCGACATCAAATAAGGATAATCAACTACGAACGAGATAACATATAACAATAACTTCAATTGAGAATAATCAATAACGGAAGAGATAGCATGTAACAACAAAGAGGCAACAATTATAATTAAAGTGTGTATGAGTATATTTGGCAGCAAAAGATAGAACATGAACCAACAACTTCAAATAAGGCATATAAGAGCGAATTTAATAATGGAGGACATAACATGATAGAGCAACTTCAATTTAGTATGCATTAAAATCCTAAGAGTCTAAACCGGTCAAACTTCCACATATAAGGCCGTGTAAATACTCGCCACCTCGAGTATACGTCTTTCATGTAGCTCAAATCGTGCAAACAAACCATTCCTTATCGGGAAGTTTCCCCTCACAAAATTAGGCAAGATACTTACCTAAAAAACCCTCAATTAATACTCTAAAATAGCTTTTCCTTTATAATTCACCTTCGTTCGGCTCAAATCTAACCAAAATCGACAACATCAAATAATGCAAGAGAAATCAATTATAATAAACAAAGTTATGGTATTTGCACAATTCCTCAAAAGTCAACAAAAGTCAACCCCACCATCCGATCAAAACCCGAGTCTAAGGGTAGATTCTGACTACCCATAAGCTCACGAGTCCATATATGTATTTTGTTTCAAAATCCGAGTCCAAATCGACTCTCAAAACTCATATTCTTATTTTTCAAAACATTGACAAAGTTTCTCAAAATTTCACTTTGATTTTCACAAAATTGATATTAAATCTCATATATAATCATGTAAAATAGTTGGAAATTGATCAAAATCACTTATCTAATGATTGTAGATGAATATCCTTCTTTAAAATTGCCTCACTGAACCTACGGTTCAAAGATATGAAAACGAGACTAAAATTCAGCCCCTCAGCTCTTATGTCCAGTATCAGGTGTTGCAAATACGAAACCGGAATGCTTCGTGTACCGTGCTGCTTTTTTTTTTTCTTTCCAAAATGGTCTCTTTAAGTTGATTCCCACAAAAAAAAATTATCTGCTTCTCATATGCTCGAAACGATCCAACTTAAAAAGATCTTTCATCTCCTTAGTGATAGCAAATATACTCATATTTTTTGGTAATACTAATAAGAATTTTTTTCACAACTTGTTGGTCAGAAATTTCATCATCAAGATTTCTCATTTCATTGACAATATTCATGACTCTTGTGCAATATTCATCTATTTCTTCAGATTTATTATCTTCAAATTATGAAACTCACTTCTAAGAGTTTGAGGATTGATAGTGCGTGTGTACCTTTTCATCGCCATATACCTCAGCTTCCAGAGACTCTCAAGCTTACTTTGCAGTATCACATGTAGCAAGTTTTGCAAAAAATGCTCTTGAGACTCCCATTTGATCTTTGCTTAAGGCTTTTGCATATTTGCGACACATCGCCTCAAGATTTTTCAACTTTGCTCTTTGCAATAATATTCCATAAGCCTTTTTAGCTTTCAGATTGAAGTTGTCATTCCAATCTTCCAGTATTTGAAGTCATTTCCATAAGAAATTGTAGTAAAAACAACTGAAGAATCAACACCTTCTTTTGTGTTTGATATCATGATTTTTCTTCACCTAACCCCAGGTTAAGATCGAAAACTGCTCTTGTTTGATGGAAAGAAAGGAAGAAAATATATAGGGAATGCTAGCTCAGCTGAAAACATTTATTCTTATAAAGAAGCTCAACCTGTGTTTGACTACTTAAGGCCAGCTGATGAAAACCGCTAAATACATCTCTATTTATACTATTCAAAAAATAATTCAAGAGTCTTGCACAACTAACAAGATATTTGCATCACAAATTCCCAAAAGACTTGTTGAAGATTAAGAGATAATATTGAGCAAGCAAATGATACTCCTAGAAAAGACAGAAGTTAAGGATAATATCCAAGAAATGCATTAATTCAAACAATATTCTAAACGCTTAAACAATTAGAGGAACACATTTTATTTACTTAATTATATCTTTTAACACATTTTGTCAACCGTAATTATAGCTTTAACACATCTTTACTGTCATTTGTTATTTAGAGTTAGACTGGAAAAGCATGATTACATCTGTTGTAGCATGCATGGCAATATAATACTCATTGGAGCTAGAATGATCACCTTATTACACACCTGACATTGAATTGATAGGTTGGAAGAATGTGAGGCAACATTATTAATCTTCAGTTTCCCATTCAAAGCATTCATCTTATCAAAGGATTTGAGCTAGTACAAACCCTTCGAAAAGTCTATCACAGTTAGGTTAATGATTTGTATATACCACCTCATACTGTGTTCCATCATTTTAACATGTTGGAGAACTAACAGTGTGAGTTCCTTTCATGTTTTTCCTTTGCACAGTACTAACAAGACAATAGAACGTTATCAGAAGAATGACAAGAATTTGAGACATGAGAAAATATTACTTGAACAGACTACAGAGGTTAGTATTCTTTTGGTTTATGCCTTGTTTATATGCTGCATATGTATTTTATAAGAGTTTTAAGTTCTATGTATCAACGGAAAAAAATTTATCCAATCAGGTTACTTATAAGGTAATTGTTTGAACTTGAAAGGAGGTTAGTTGTTGACTTGTCTTAGGTAAATCCCACAAGGTTAGAGGGCATATATATAATGGGAAATATATTCAGGTTTCACCTATTGAGGTGCCTTGTTGATTAAAGCCCAAGGGACCGTGAAGCCCAAAAGTCGCAGATAATGTAAAAATTGCACGGAGTGTCCTATTTGGTCGTCCTTATTTAATCTATATCTATTTTTTTAAATTTTTTTAACTTGTACCCACTTTTTAAATAATTTCAGCCCCCTTTCTCCTCCTCCTCCTCCTTCGTTTTCTTCTTCTTTCTTCTGCTGTTGTTGGTGCAGATTATTTCTTCTTCGTTTTGTCTCAATTAATATTCTTTTACGTAAGCATAGTTATGGATTTAACTTAGCTGTTTGTTCAGATTTTTCATGAAGTAGAACGAGCCATCTATTGAGCTCAAAAACGGCAACCTGTGATGAAGTAGAATGGAGTAACATATTTGAAGGGAAGATATACGTACACAAACACAATTATGACAAGTAGGCCAAGTAATTTGTAGCAACTTTTCGCCTAAACAAAGAACCACCATAATTAAGGATAAATGACAGATTAACTACTCTCATTTTGGCTACAAAAAGTACAAAGAGTTATCCATATGAAATCACCAGTGATTATAGCTGTATTTGCTAAGTACAGGAAAAGCAGTCAAGTGATTAAAAAAATTCCGACTCCAGAAGAGGAGAGCCAAGTAAAACATTAGTACAAACAAAAACTTCAGCTCTAGAGCTGAAGTTCGACAGTTACAAAATAAAAACTTCAGCTCTAGAGCTGAAGTTCGACAGTTACAAAATAAAAACTTCAGCTCTAGAGCTGAAGCTTACAGCTACAAACAAAAGTTTCAGCTCTAGAGCTAAAGTTTGACAGTAACAAAACAAAAACTTCAGCTCTAGAGCTGAAACTTACAAACAAAAAGCCAGTTACAAACAAACAGTTACAAAATAAAAACTTCAGCTCTTACAAATAAAAACTTCAGCTCTAGAGCTGAAGTTCGCCAGTTACAAAACAAAAACTTCAGCTCTAGAGCTGAACTTCAGGCCCGACTACTAGAATGCTGAAGTTTTGCGTGATTGTCTTTACTAATTCAGCCCCGAATGCTGAAGTTACGCGGAAAAGAGGGTACGCTTGCAATTTTTTTTGTAAAGCGGGCACAAGTTAAAACGTGACACAAAAAGCGAGTATAAATGCAAATGCCCCAGTACAATACCTTACCAGTTGGACCTGGATCATGACGTTAGAAGTATGTTAAAATCATTGAATATTACACAAGTAATTTCACTGGTTGTCCTTCTTAAAGATTGGTATACTTTTGATCATGTTAAGAATAGATTTCTGCCACAACTTCTAGCTACTCCTTCTCCCTTATTCTTCCTTCTTCTTCGTCTCCTTCTTCTTCCTTCTATGTCTTATTCTTTAAAATTATCATGCGCACACACTTACAATTGAAAAAGAAAGAGATATCTGTGTTGTAGAAAATTAAAAACTCATTGCTTTATTTATAATTGGAATTGGGTGCACGTGAGTAATGTTCCATTTAGCTTATATCGCTAATTGTTTTGAATTAGTTTGTAGAAAATTGAAGAACATCATTGCTTGATTTATTGAGGTTTAAAAACACTTAATATAATGTTGAATAATTAAGACAAAGTGAGTCTATTAATTTCTCAAGGTTCGAGTTGAATTTAACCATTGAAAATAGTTTGAATTAGTATAATTAGAAGGCTGAATACAATTTTGGAGTTGATTTGGACCAATTTTGAAACAACAACGCACTGGTGAAACTTTCACATGATAAGTTATGGTGATCGGATTTTCTGACAAATTCTACCCATCCATCAAGATTTTATCACAAAAATTTGCAACCCGCAAATTTGAAAATCTGGCTATTCGCCAGCATTTTGCTATCTAATGTATCTATTTTTTACAAAACTTAATTTTTTGAACAGATAAAAATTTAAACTTAAAGATCTTATCCCATATTTACGGTAGGAGATAATACTTGACTATGGACCAGTAGTGTTTTGTTCGTAATCGAGCTTTGGGATTTAGTTGTGGTAAAATAACCATAAAATTATCTTTAGTAGCCAAACATGAAACTGTAGCAAACGGTAAGAAATCTAATGTAATCACTAATCAGATTGGCAAATTCAAGCAGATACTGAGATACTAAATTATAAAAGAAGCCGGAAAGAACATATGCAAGAAACATAATAATCTCATAACCCTAATTGGACAATATCAACAAATTCTGGCAGTGTAAAAGAAAAAAAAAAAAAAAAGGAAACAGCATTAAGATATTAAGTATAGGAGCAAAAGATCTCTGAAACGAACTTGAACCTAAAACCTCGAAAAACAAGTACAGAAAATCTGGCAAATATACCACAAGGACGGAAAATTTTGGACAGAGACAATCTTTATCTCTCTTAACAAATGAATTTCTAATATGGTTACTCCTTAATATAGGAATCCGGGATTGAGTTTTTTGTTGAAGTGTCTGACCATCGCATGTAAAAGCTTAAGCTATCGGAGAGAGTTCAACACGTGCGAGCTTGATATATTCTATTTTAATAGTCATGCACGAGAAAATTCTTTTTGATAATAGATGACAGTGAGACTCGAATTCAGGACCTTTGTATGTTCTGATATCATGTTGAAGTGTATGTCCATCTCATCTACACGCTTAAGCTTTAAAAAGAGCACACTTTTATTTACTTAATTACGTTAACTTTGTAATACTAGCTACTTTTTGTTAGATGCATTTCCTTTTTCATTATTAATTGATCTTGCCGAAGAAAGCTCGGAATTAGCCATAGAAATGTTATTGAACGCTACGTCTTCTTTAAATTGCTTTGCAGCATTTGAAAGAGGAAGTTGCTACTATGAGTAGGAAGCTGGAGCTTCTTGAAAACTCTAAAAGGTTTCATCTCTACTACTTCCCAATACTGCATTGTCATAATTTCAAGCTAAGCAATAAAATAATAATTAACTTCATCCTTGTATTACAAGCTGCGTAATAAATTGGCATATATATGATTCTGAAATATTATTAGTTTCTTGTGTTTTTCTTTTTCACTGCAGAAGGATTTTAGGAGAAGATTTAGATTCTTGCTCCATTGATGAACTGGAAAAGGTAGAAGAACAGTTAGAGCGAAGTTTAAGAAACATTAGGGCAAGAAAGGTACAATATTATATATTATTACATTGCTATATTTAATTTTGTTCCATAAAAAATACACTAATATTGGAAGATCCGACACCCATCCCGTGGCAATTTTGAAGAGTTGGAGCAACATAGGTTATTATGTGATGTTCACTCGTACCAAATTAGTAATCTAAAGTGAATCTTTGACAAGGGAATATTATTCTGCCATCTTCTATTTTATTTCCAGAACCAGCTATTCAGGGAACAGATTGCTCTTCTAAAGGACGAGGTAAATACATACTTTATTATATCCATAAAATCTGTTTTTATTTATTCTATTTACATATAAATTCAGTTCAAGATAACTGTGAGATCATTCACGTACTAATTGCTTCAGAATTTCCTTATTCTCTTGTCCCAGGAAAAAGTCCTAATGGAGGAAAATGCAGAATTGCGGAAAGAGGTGAGTTACTACTTCAATTTCAACGCCCTTAATATACATATCTGTTATTTCATTGGTTCAATTTGCTTAACATAGTTTGACTCGACGCAAAATTTAAGAAAGATTTTTTTTTAAAAAATTGTGATTTTAAACATGTCATAACAGTTATGTGGCTACAAAACTTAATGGAACTACTTGTGATCTTAATTAAACGTCCTATGTCATTTATCTGACTATAAAAGTTTCTCATTGAGAAAATATGGAAATGTATTATTCCCTCCGTTCCAATTTATGTGAACCTGCTTGACTGGGCTCGTAGTTTAAGAAAAAATGAAGGCTTTTGGAATTTGTGGTCCTAAATAAGTCAAAAAGGGGCCAGAGTATTTGTATGGTTATAAAAGTTTCTCGTTAAGGGTGGAATTGTAAGTTAAAACTAAATTGTTCAGAAGCGGATCTGCCTAACAAATGGCGATGCCGGTGACCCATGCCAATCTCACAAAATTTAATTTATTATATAGATAATTCACTTAATATTTATAAAAGTATATGTTGGCCCCCATGGTCAAAAATGGGTCAAAGGTGCACTAGTTGGGCCTTTTCTTTATTTCCTCAACTGGCCCACATTCCTAGGGCTGGGAATATATCGGGTAAAACCGATAACCCGAACCGTTAATTATTTATTGGGTTATCGGTATTAGGTTATTGGGTTAATGGTTCGGTAACGGTTTAGAATTTTTTTACTATTGAGTTATCGGTTCGGGCATTGGTTTGCCAATTTTATTAATGGGTTAACCGATAATCCAATAAGAATTAATGAAATTACTACTTTATCCTTAAGTATATACATATGTTAGGGCTTCACTTCATTCTTTCCTATTTATGTGTCCGATTGTGTTTTTAGTTATAAAAAGTTGTAATCTTGAAGGTAATAATGTTGAAATCAATTGTTTAATTAGTGTTTTTTTGTGACTTTTCTTATGTGATTTGATGAATTCAGTGTTTTAAAAATCTTTTTGGGTTGACTAGCAAATAAAGTAAATTCAAGAACTTAACGTGCTAACGGGGTTTGATTAAGTTAAGCAGATTTTTTGTTAGAGGCAAGTTTGTATAACACCTCAGACTTTAGACAGAGTCCCACATCGGCAAAACACAAGAGGGATGTTGGGTATATAAGATAACAAGTCTTAGACCCCAGTGACGCATTTTAAACCCGTGAGGGCCTAGGCCTAGAGCGGACAATATCACTAGCGGGCTGGGCTGTTACAGATGGTATCAGAGCCACTCTTGTGTCAGCCTTGCCGATGGTGGGTCAGAGTTCAACTGAGTTTAGGCAAATCCCGGTTAGGCGGGTGTATGTAATACTCCAAACTTTAGACAGAGTTCCACATCGGCAAAACACAAGAGTGATGCTGGGTATATAAGATAATAAGTCTTAGACCCTAGTGACGCATTTTAAACCCGTGAGGGCCTAGGCCCAGAGCGGACAATATCACTAGCGGGCTGGGCTGTTACAATTTGACTTCTCAGAAAAATAAATTCCAAGAGCTGATCCTTTCCTTTCTTTTTTGGGGTTTGAAATTGTTTCGGTTCTATTGTAGGTTTCAGTTCTTCTCTTTTTTGCTTAACTCCAATGAATTGTTTTTTCTTTTTTGTTTAAATCTAGATTGAGTTATCTTATCGGATAAACTGATAACCGAACCGATAATGATCGATAACCGATTAACCAATACCCGATAATTGTTATATATCTTATCGCTTTATCAAATTTATAAATCGATAACCGATATGCTAAACCGATAATATTCATAACCGAACTGAACTGATGATGCTCACCCCTACCCATTCCTCACTTTTATTATTTTTCACGATAGCATCATTGTATTATTTCTTTTTAGCTTTTTAATGCCAAATATCAATTATTCCCTCCAAATCTCAATCCCAATTCAGTGATTCACGCCAAAACTCAAAAGTAAATTGCGTCTCCCTCCCTCTCTCTCTTTTTCTAAACCCCAAATCAGTGTATCATCTGGCCCTCTTTCGGTTCATATCGCTATAATCTTGCAATTCCAGAATGGTATTTTAGAATCTCTATTACCAGCGCAAGGATCTTCCCAGTTTTTGTACTTCTTATGCAGGTATATTTTTATTTCTTATTTTATTGTTAATCTCAGTTATTTGTTTTCTTTCATAAAGAGTGATCTACATAATATCATTGGTGGTGTATTAATTAGTAATATTTTTTTGTGCGATTTTATTATCTTTGTTATTGAATATTTTAGTACAATGTTATGAGTTATGACTCATCTTATATTATTATTATTTTATTTTCTTGAAAAATATATTATATATTTGTATCCTATTATGACTAAAATAAATATTTGGAGAACAAGTTACATATTTTGTGCTATTACGACTTTACTGGGAAAAAACACGAAAACCAAGATTAAAAACCCGACTTTATTGGTTTGGTTTGGTTTATAAATTTAAAAGCCCGACACTATTGGTTTGGTTTGGTAACGAAAAAATCCGAACCGACCCGACCTATATACACCCCTACTTTGAAGATGTTTGGTGCACCCATCCTTTCAAATTCCTGGATTCGCCTCTGAAATTGTTACCAAATTTAGAAAGGGGACATTCTTTTTGGAACGGATCAAAAAGGAAATAGGTTCATATAAACTGGAACAGAGGGAGTAGTTTTTAAGAATATGGACTAATAAGAAATTTGGTACCCAAATAAAATGGAAGGGAACATGTGTTTTTAAAATCTATGTTAATGTATTTATATATGGTGTAGCTCAGAGTAGCAACCCATGGTCCGATATTTGGTCCAAAATGCGACCATTGTGGAATTTGGCAAAGTCCCACATCGGTGGGATAGCCATTTTGGTTGTGAAATTTTTCCTATAAAAGAAGGCCTAATGTTTAGGATTTAAATACACCTCTCATTTGCCTTCATTTGCCTTCTCATCTGTTTAAGGCATTTGTATCTTCTCTCTTTAGTATTATTTCACTTG